TCCGTTCTGCGCTCGGAATCGTGAAGATGAAGGCGAAAGCATGAAACAGCAAACCAGAATACATACGCGCTACGAGGGCAGTAATGAGCTCTAGCGGCTCTTCGAAAGGTCATTACTCAATGATCACGACAGTCTTGATGAAGCACCAAGAATATTATATTGATAAGTGTGCTTATGTTTTTTTTTTCTCATACTTGCGAATGATATACACTTACTCATTGTGGAAAGATCGATGGATTCCGATATACTTTTCTTGTCATGGTCAACTGATATTGCTTTCTCGAACGCAATCCGCCGCACGATTTTTTGGCATTCATCATGCTTGCGTTTTGCATCTGCATCATTCGGATGAGCGCGGACAACAGTGGCGTAATCTGCGAGCGCCTTCTTGAACCGAGCCAAAGCCATGTTCGCTGTCGCTCGACGGTAGTATCCCTGTATGCCAAAACATTGAGATCGCGAAGGAAAGGAAAAGTCCTGGAAATTGTTCAAGGAATATCGCTGACCTTCATGTAAGAAGGATCAATCGAAATGGCATTGTTGGCATCTTCTAGAGCACTACCGTACAATTCTTTTTTTAGATAGGCCATACTCCTAGAAAACATGCTACCTAGCAATATATACAGCACATCAATGACACAAAAGTTTACCTATTTCCGTACAAAACTGCTGTGGGATGATGCTCTATGGCCATGGAATACAACTCTATTGCAACGTCATATGCTTGATCTAGAGTATGAGACAGTGAGTTCTGATGAATACCTGTTTCACAGAGATCTACTAGCAACTCCAAAACTCGTAGAATTGGAACCTTTGAAGAACTGGTTTGCTTCCTCCTTTATTCTTGACGCTTTTGCTTCATCACCATCCAGGTTCTGATCATGAATGCTCTCTAGTACAGTCGCTACAACCTCCTCCACTGATGCCGTCATCTGCACAAACAACTCCGATTGACAAAAAACCAGGGCTGCAGATTTACACACCTTGAGCTAGGAATGCCCACGCATTTCCTTATGAATCCACGGAAACTTGAGCACTCGACCTCTGAGATCACACTAATCAATATATCTTCGAGTGCTTCAGCCACAAAACCAAACATCGCAGTAGATTTGTAAAAGCGTATTTGTAAAATCGAAGTCAAATGTGCACAAGTTTTCGAGTAGTTGAACTATCGATATTTCACCTTTGAAAGATGAGTGGTTAGTGAGGACACAAATTCCACACCAGCGTTTAATCCTCATTAGTTCGAGTGCTCAACATTCTTTTCTTGGAACGAATCTGCTACAATTAGATATACGTACAGTCGAATGAATCCCACATTCTGAGACTGGTATTATCAAGCATAGTCAAAGCGGCTTATTCTTTATAGAACGAACAAATAAATGTTATGACATCACAGACTTCGAAAATATGGCGAGTAAATCAATCAAAGCGATCCTATATGAGTGTTCTGAGCCTCGCGTTTTTCACGTTCTTCTTTAGGAGAAGTGATTGACGAGCGTAAGCTGAAAAAGGAAGAATTCGATGGCCATTTCCACAAAGAAACAAGAAATAACGTAGCAGTTTGCACATACTATGAGGCGGGAACTTTTTTTCTCTCAAACATACCTTTCGCCTTTGTGGAGAACATCAAATGCACCGTTTATCTCAGAGAGAGGGAAGTGATGAGTGATGAACTCGTCGATTTTTATTTTCTTTTCCATGTATTCTTCGACAAGTTTGGGTACACTTTCAACACTCTCCAACCTGAAACAGCATTGTGGTGTCACATGAGCAATGCTTCAATTTCTCTATAGCCACCTAGATGAGATTATCTAGAAAAGTAAAACTCAGGTAATCTGTAGGCGTTTCTAAAACAGTACTGATGAAATAGATTACACCAGTTCCAGTTTGGGTAAGAAAAGATGCTGCCAACAGTATGATGGACCCATTCAAAAAATTAAGAAACTTACCACCGAATGCTGACCCACACCATGTTCTTCCTGTCACCAGCTGGAAAGGTCGGGTCGAGATTTCTTGTCCCGCAGCTGCCACCCCGATAATGCAAGAGACACCCCAACCTTTATGTGCAGCCTCGAGTGCTTGACGCTGAACATGGGTGGATGAAGATGCCCAAGATAATAACGAAACAATTCAAGTTCAGAAATATAGTGAACGTACCATTGTGTTTACGTTGCCGATGCATTCGAAGGTGTAGTCAAAACCTCCATCGAACTGCTCGACAAGCCAGGCCTGCAGAGTTTTCCCAGCCGGTACTGATTTTGGATTGATACAATCAGTCGCACCAAATTGTCGTGCTGAATAAGTGCGCTGGTTTGTGGAAGCCAAAATCACCTTAGAAAGCAGAATAGACATAAGCAACAAACCTTTGTCATATTTGCTCTCCAAAAGGTCAATGGCCACGATTTTCTTTGCACCGACTGCTTTAGCTCCCATAATCACAGCGAGACCAACGGCTCCAAGACCCCAAACAGCGACAGTACTTCCTGGTTCCACCTAAATCAACAATGAGTTTAATATTAATCTTTGACTCTGACATCAAACTAATCATTCACGAATTTCAAAAGACACCTTTTGATTGTAGAACACCCAATAAATTGAAGAAACATAGATGGCTGAACCCATCCGAAATCCGGTTTCCACACACACATGGTGGCGGTTACTCTCGACTCTAGTACATCATCGCCACTCCTGCGCAGGGTTTTCAAAATTGATATGATTACATATTATTCAGGAGGTATCGTAGTATCTATGGTAGGCATGGTGCAGCATATGCTTCCAGTAAGTTTTTTACTCAACTGATATTTGAAAGCGATTCTCTGGATTACACTTGCTATTTTCGAATCTATACAGCTGATTTGTGGCTTGCGGACAGCTAGAGTATCGATACGACTTTCCATCACAGGTGATATGGCTCAGATCTCATTTACGAATTGATGGGGGCGAAAATTGATAGTTTTTTTTCTGGTTTTCTGGTATTTTCTGGTTTGTTTCGAAAGCCTCTCTAGGCAAACGAGAATTCAATGTTGTTTCAATAGCGATCGGCAAAGATTTGAGACGTGTGAAGATACAACAGTTTCCTCTTTGAGATCCACCATCTTAGGTATAGGTGATGTAGGTGGTTCCTTGTCGCATTAAGAAAAAAGACGGGATCCCACGCGACAGGCAAACAAAAATCGCATGGTTGTCTTTGTATTTAAAGCAACAGTCCCAGCAGGGTGGGCGTGGTCGGAAACGGCTGCAATCCCCTCGGCCGATTCCCACTTCGGAGCTGTTCAGCCCCTAGTCAAGAACGTAAGAAGTGTGACTGAACAAAAACTCACCTTGGAAAGCCGCTAGGAGGGAGCTGAAGTGGGCGTGGTCGGAATCGGCCGAGGGGATTGCAGTCGTTTCCGACCACGCCCACCCTGCTGGGACTGTTGCTTTAAATTACAGGGAGTAAATAGCACAAATCGCCACGACGTAAGGCGAATTAATCTTGGGTTAATGATCGAAGAATTCCTTTCGGGGCAAATCTCAGCGTTTGGACCGGTGCTGCTATCCTATAGAATTTAATGGGATATCCATATCTAATGAAATATATAATATCCGAGAAGTCAAAATGGAAACCTTGCAAGTTTTGAGCACTGCTCCATATCCAGTGGAAATGCCACATCCGAGCAAGCACACCTTATCAAGAGGTGCCTTTGGATCAATCTGGAAGTCAAAAGATACTATCCTGATGGAGAGTGATTCACGAGCATTGAATAGCAAAAAGAATCAACCGTCTCACCTTGCATAAAGATATGTCTGCGACAACAGTGTACTCGGAGAAAGTCGAGCACCCCATGAAGTGATACAACGATTTCCCTTTGCAAGTAAATCGACTTGTTCCATTGGGCATTACGCCATTACCTTGCGAAATGCTAAATCTACTTTTTAACAATCTGCTCGTCATTGGAAAAGATACATTTCAAAAGGTACGCATTTAACAGTGTGAATATTTCACCTTGAAACACCTGAAAGACCTGTAGCTGTAGATCTGCGTTGTGT